TCATCACTCGTTAACTTAACACAAAGAACTCAAAAAAGGAATTTTAATATTAAAACCCCCCATTTCCAGAAAAAAAAAAAAAAAGGAGAGTCCTTCAATGACGAATTAAAATAACGAATCCTTCGCAAATAATAATCTCTTAAATTAAGTTCCTTAGAAATTATAATTTTACAACCACTTGATGAATAGTATTTAGAGCAAATGTTCCCAAACTTGTTTGTCGCGTAGACCACTTGCTGATTTTCTGTATTTTTTGTATATACCAGTCTAGGGATGGTTCTAAAAGTAGTCAAGAGAGTAATATTTATACTTGAGCGTTCGAAAATAGTGAAACTGAGGATAAAGTGTCACCCAAGGCGTTCCAAAACATTAAGATGAAAGCAAAATGTATGGAAAAGTCTCCTGGCAGGTGCAAAATTTACTTGACCGCGACAGTTGTCAGATGAAACTTACACCGGCTTTTAGAAAGTTGAGAATATTCTAAATGAACATATTCTGTAATACTGCATTTAAAAGGGTTTTTTTTTTTTTTTTTTTTTTTTTTTTTGTCAGCCGGTATAGAGCTACTCATTTTGACAGGGTTTACTATAGAATGGAAAATTTTAAAATAAAAAAATATGTTAAGTTTTTATTTATATATCTTTATCAATCAAAGCACCAAAAACTACAAATCTAGTAAAATTCTTACATAAAATACATACACCAAAAATCAATGCTTTTAATGAGAAGGATAAATCTGATGCTTTAACATTAAATTTTTAATATTTACTTCAAATTAGTCATGCTTAACCTTAAATCTTCTGGACCAGTTGTCTTCTTGGCTCGTGTAAAGGGTTGCACGAGCCATGAAGATGAAAAAGCTATCGGAAATGTTTCTACGATAGTCATTATGCAGAGTAAGTAACAGGTCTAACTCTTTGAAGCTAGAAATGTTGATAAATGCTTTTTAAACTGCACCTTAAGTTCTTCGTCAGTGATTATTCTAATCCTTTCTTCTTGTAACAGGACATCCGATTTTTCAGTGTCACGGTATGGACTAATAATTCACTGAGGTTTTTCCATAGTCAGAATATTATCAAACCTGGTTTTAAAGCCTATGCGAAGGTCATTTAAACGTTAAATATAGGCAAAATATCATCATCTTCTCAGTTCGTCTGTGACAAATTAGGAAACACAAAATTCCCATCATCCAATGTTGCTCCATTAGGTTAATTCTAGTAAGAAAAGCTGCAATGATGAATTGGTTTTTATTAATTATTTAAATTTAGATTCTTACCTTGTAACTGAAAATTAATTTCATTAAATTTAGAAAACAAATCTGTAATAAGTAATGACCGGTTTCCATTTGATTAAATTTTCTTCTAAAACGGGATCTTTAGCTTCCAAAAATTCTAAAACAGATTAAAAGGGCATGGGGGTGTAGTCTCGTCAGACAGAAGTATTTGATAGCCAGCATAAATTAGTGTAAATCAATGAAAGTTAACCTCATTTTCTTCACACAACTGTTAAAATAGTCTAGAATTCAACGCGTTACTCCATATTTTATTTAGTTTATGTGTTTAGAACGAATTGAGGATTAATGCAATCGACCACTTAGATTTTTAGCAATTAGATGACGGCTCCATCTGTTGCTTCTGATATTATATTTGATAAAGGGATCTTTTTTTTTTTTTTTTTTTTCTTTTTTTTTTTTTTTTTTTCATGAAATAATCTCTCAAAACACTTTATATTGCTTCGTCTTTAGTGCCTGTTACCAAAGTTCTGTCGAAGAACAGTTCGTTGCCAGTGGTGTAACAAGGATTCCAGCGCCCGGGAACAACTGAAGAATTTGCGTCCTTTTCTGTGTGCCAAGAATGGGAAACATTTCATTACAAAACTTCGTAGCATCAATTTGGAGTCACCTGGATGCTGTGCCCCAGAGACAGATGGGTCGATGCTATTCGCACCAGTAGAGCGGTGTCGGGGTACACCAGGGTACCTGGGCCGATGGTCTTACCCCTTGTAGATCATGTTTGAAAGTTACGAATTAGGATAAAAAATAATCTCTTAGGATTTAAGTTTTCTTTAAAATTTATTTTATAATTATTATTATATATTTTAAATTATATTTGAAAGTAAGATCATACTTCAATTATGCATTTAAAGTTTTAGGTTTAATTAATCATATGCTCTTAATTTTTTAGTTGCAGGGTGTGTCTGTAAAGACTAGAAAGCCGCTGAGTCTAGAAAGCAAAGGTATGAGTTATGCAATACAATTAGTTGAAGTACACATTACTATGCTATGATTTACATACTGTTGTGGGGTGGATGTACATACATAAAGATAGAAATATGGGTTACATGATCCATTCATTGAGGATGGCCAGTGCCCTGTCTATGTTATTTAAATCATAATGATCATAATTGGCAATTCTGATGGCAGGATTATTGAGGGTGAACTGTTATGAAATTTTTTAGCTATTTTGTAGTAGAAAGATCTTAGGGCACAGATTCCCAGTTCTTCATGAATTCTGTTGTTACGGATGTACCACTGTGCGTTACTAATTTGCCTCTGGGTAGAATTTTGAGATATTTGTAGTTTTCCTCTATATTTATTACATGAGTAAGCCCAAACAAGGCATGCATAGCATAGTAATGGACGCAGAATGGATTTATAAATGAGTAATTTATTATCTATGGATAAAACACTGTTTCGAGCAATTAGGGGGAAGAGTCTAGCTTTATGTGCTCGAAACTTCTGGATATTAGGTGTAATGAGTGGGTTCCATGAAAGTGTCTTACTGAGGATCATCCCAAGGTAAGGGACTTGCTTGGCCCAGGGAATAGAGCTGCCATAGAAGTGCAGGTTTTTCTTGAACTTTTTCTTGCGGGTGAAGGGGATGGCCTGGGTTTTGTTGATATTTATCTGAATCTTCCATTTCACTAGCCAAGTCTTTATTACATGTATGTAATTTTGTAGAATAACTGAACCAGCAAATGCACTTTGGGCAAAGATCGCTGTGTCGTCTGTATACATAGCTAATGTTGTGTTGTGTGTTGTAGGGATGTCGTTCAGGTAGATATTGAAGTAAGTAGGACCTAAAAGAGACTCCTGGGTGACCCCGGCCCTTATGGGATGTTTTGTAGAATTTGCACCTGAAACGTGAACGACAAAGTTTCTACCTGTGAAGTAGTACTTAGTGATGTTTGTGATGTAACCTGGGAAGCCCAGGTTGTGTAATTTGTAAATGAGGGCCTCCAGCCAGACTCTGTCGAAGGCCTTGGCTATATCAATAAATAGTTCACCAGTGACTTTGTTGTTTGTCATTCCATCAGAGATCATCCTTACCACCCTGCAGAGTTGGTTGGTGGTTCCTAACTTCTTTCTGAACCCGAACTGGCTAGGTATGATGATGCTTTGTTTTTCCAGGTGATTGTCTTTAATATGACTGCCTCATGGATTTTGCTAAGGGAGGTTAACAGACTTGTTGGCCTGTATGCCTCAGGATCATTAGGTGACTTTCCAGGATTCAGGATAGGAATCACTTTAGCTGTCTTCCATGGACTCGGATAGTATTGAAGCTGGAGCATTTTATTGAATAACTTGGACAGAAGGAAGATGACTTTGACAGGAAGTTATTTAAGCGTGGTATTGGTGATTTCATCGAGTCCAGGGCTTTTCTTCTTCTTTAGTTCATTGATATAGCCTACTACCTCCGAAGGCATAACTGGAGGGATATTGTTTATGTTTGTATCTGTTGTGAAGTTGGTATGAAAAGTGTGAACAAGGTTTTCTGTTGTAGGTTCATGTATCTTGTTTGTGCAAAACTGTTCCAATAGCTGTGCTAATAATTCTGCTTTCTCAGTTTCAGTGTAGTGGATCCTCGTAGGGCCTTTAAGAGGCGAAATTTTATTGTGGCATTTAGTGTAACTTGAAATTGCATTCCACAGTGAATTATCTTCTGTTGAAAGCGAATTTAGGTAGCTGGTCCAGTCTTTTTCTGCCTGTGCATGTGTAAGAGACTTTACAGCATTGCATGCGATTAGCCACTGCGGGGATGGATGTCCCCTCTTCCCTCGCCCTAGTATAGCTAATATAGCTACCTAAAATAGCTACTCCACTGTTCGTTGCACACCTATATTAATGTAAAATTAATTAAGTTTTTTAATATATTTATACCTTTGAGGCCAACGTCTATAAGAACTTGTGCCATATGCCTTGATAGATCTAGTTGGCATTGCACTAGATAATCTAGTTGGCCTTGCAGGTGCCTGCCGTTTCGGGATGGATTTTAAAATTTGTTATGATGCTCTCGCACTGCCTTTACATGTTTAACTTTATTTCTGTTTACATGATCACGATTTCGACAGCTCGTCTTACATGTCTGGTTCGTACGAGAAGAGCTATGTGATCACGGTATTTTTATGCAACTTTTGTCATTCCTTAGCATTTAGAAGCACCTCTGCTACTTCGCAGTAAAGTCGAAAGTAACTACTTACTCGATGGAAGTAGGTATGACGGTAGAAGGTGCTAGCACCAGGGTACCTGTGCGGAAGGCCCTATCCCTTATCGAACAATTTGGGTAATTTTTTAATTTTGCAAGCCATAAGGTGAAAAGTATTGAACAATGATAAAAAATTTTGGAGTATTGCTAGAAATTTAGAATAAACACTAAGTATACGTGAAACCAGTCGAAAGGTGAAAATGTCAGAGCATCTGGGAAATTGTTGGAGCTGGTGATTTGAAATGCTGTGTAAGAGAGTTTCTTTCGGTTTGGGGGAAAAAGAGTCCTCTATTGTGGCATGCAGGAAGGAGGAAGAAAATACCGTACATGAGAGATAAAGGCAGTACAGAAGCATTCGGTGAGATACAAATTAGGAATTAAGTTAGTTAAATAAATACTGTAGACAAACGATGGAAGTAAGTCGCCATAGGCCAATCCGGTGTTTTCACCACTCGAAGAAGCATTGAAGAGTTTGACGCAAAAGGTACCTTTTTTGGCAACAGTACAAAACGTAAACACGGAGCTTAAAGGAAAAAAAAGCGTATCGCTTCCGGAGCTTGCGCATTGTAGAAATGTGAATTGATTCAAGTGGAATTCAACCTTCAAAAATGTCTGCACTGTATAGAAGTTTCATCGCTGTATTAGATAAGCGTGTGCCTGCTAAGTTACGACCGCTATGGGTACATCCTGCTGGTGAGTTTCCGAAGTTTGAATAGAGTTTTTATAAAGTCTTATTAATTTATTATCTGTGTGAACTATCGTATAGTATGCTGTTGGATAAAACTAGGGAGTTGTAAGGAAGAAATGTGGGAAAACCAAGAGTTAACCTTAAAATATTTATTTTGAAATTAAATGACGAAATTGTCTAAATCTGAATTTAAAATTGTAATTTGTTAGCTACCGGAATTCATATCTCGGCACAGCTTTAGTATTAGTCCTTTTTGGCGAGAAATTTGTTTGGCGACATTTTGGAGCGATAAATGAAAAATTATGATAACCTTGGTAACCCTAAATACTGAGCTTCAAACATGCCGCCATTTCTGTCCACGTAACTTTAACGAATTTGATAGGTATCAGAGCTTTGATGGCAGGAGGGATAAATTGTGTGTTTTTCTTAAAGTTACTTTTGTGTTAGGAAAGCACAACATTTAAAATATTTTTTAAAAAGCCAAATTTTTTATAGTTAAAACTGGTGCTTTTAATATTACATCACATGAGTCTTGACATTTTTTCATATGTCAACTCTGCATATTATTATAAACTCCACCCCCCCCCCAAGAAAAAAAAAAACATTTTCAGTAGCATGAGGTAAACTCTTGGTGTTTCCTTTGCTAAGGAGATCAAAATTACCATGGTCTAAAAATACTTATTTACCTCATATTAGAACTATAGGGATGTGTAATTGCATGAATTCATAGGTTCAAATCAGGACCAAAATCAGGTTTCATTATTGCTTTTATAACATTTTCATAATTTGTCTGACTATAAAAAATATAATGTTGCTTAGATTATGGAATATATTGCTTATAATTTAGAGTTCTCAAATTTTGTAAATCTTACAACCTAACAGCTGTATATGAATAACCTTCACTGAGTATTATTATTACTTTTATTAATAGTATGTTGACATAACAGTCGACTTTTTATTTTAAATTTTATGCAAATTTTCTACATTACTTAAACATTTTATCTAACAGAAATCTGAATTTTTTGTAATAAAAACTCTATAATAAAAGTAAGAGTACAATTTATATATAAAAATTTGACTACATGGCAAGCACTTAGATACTGATTTCAATGTCTTTAAATGTTATTATCATAAAGTTTAGATATATTCTTATTAAGTTAAGATATACTTTTATTCTATTATAAAGTTTAGATGTACAGAACAGAAGGCACACTTTGTGCTTACGACTCAGTCAACCACTTGTGGCAAGATAACTTATGATAACAATTAAGTTCAAATGTAAAATTTAAATTCAAATAAATTTGTAGCCCAAAGGCTGCACAAATCAATTTAATGCAAAGTTGGTTAAAAACTTAACTGGCATGGAATTCAACTATCAGCAATTATAATGCAAGGCTGAAGACTACAAATCTTTTCTTATCTAGCAACCTATTAATGTGGCCTCAAAAGGCAAAACACGGTTTGTTTTACAAAATAAAAACTTCATTTGGATTCTGGTGAGAAAACGGATGGAGGAAATTGACAGTAAAGATCCCAAGCATAAAATAACTCTGGTTACAAAATAAAGGAACGTTACAATATACTTTGTTCCCTGATTAATTATTCAGTACATGAAATAGTGTAATGCATTTTTTTTTTTTTTTTTTTTTTTTGCATCACATACAAATTATTTAGTTTATTTAAATGCTTTCCAAAACTGACAGGATTTTGCAAACATATTGACCATATTTTTCGACCTATAGATGCAACACTTCTCTTCAGAAGTAAGATTTAGAATTAAGAAATAAGAAAATAAGAGAGAATTATGAATAGAAAATAAATACATATGCTGGCTAGCAGAAGAAGGATGCCTTCATAAAGTACTTTTTAAGAGAAACTGGCTCAGATTCACATTACGGACGGAAAACTACTAAAAACTCCCATATAGCCAGCCTGAACTACCACTGTTCAGTGGCTATCACTCACCCACTAGTGGATTCCAATGACTGTTCGAATTTTTCACAGAAATCATCATTTACGATGATTGTTGTATTATTACCATTGGTACAAAATTTACTCATTATGATAATTTAATTTTAGCTTTTAAAATTATAATCATAAATTACTTGTAATAAATTGAGGGATTAAAAAATACACACTTCTTAATATTTTTACCATTTACAATATTTAATCATAAAAAATATTTCTAACACTGGTACAAAACTTGCCCATTATAATTGAATTTGATTTCCTTCACTTTGAAATATTTTTTTATTTTCTTTTAATAACAGAATCTAAGAAACTAAAGTAACATATACTAGTTTGAAATGCATTTATTAACCTTTTGTAAATTTCATTATTCATAAACATAAAAATTAACCTTTTGTAAATTTAAAATATTAGCTAAGTACTAATATAATAAAATATAAATATGAACTAACTACTTAAAATATTAATGTTTAATACATTATATTTTGTAATTAAAAATATTAACATTTTGTAAATTTCATTACTCATAACATAATAATTGTCATAAATTCATTTACAGTAGTGTTTCAAGAATTTATCATAGCAGTACTAGAAATATTGAAAATTAGAGAAAGACTGTTTATTCTGATTAAGAGCTTATTTTTTAGGATTGTTATTTAGTCTAGATCGGGTTTTGTTGACAATCCGCCATTTTTTTCCAATCTTCAAAACAGGGTCTACCTTGGCGACGGAAGTTTGTCGCCAAATAAAAAAATCGCCAAAGGGACCAATACTAAAGCTGTTCCCATACCTCATTTTCCGATCAAAATTCTTGTGTGGAATTTTCTTGAGAGAAGAAGGTTGCACATATATCCACGTTGTTTTATGAAATGCCAGTACGATGAAAATAGTGAATATACGTATATAAATGGTTTTTTGATACAGATATATAAATAAAATAAGGCCATATCTGATAATACCATGTTAAGGTAAAGTTATAATAGTCAAGTTCAAAAAAGCATTATGCGATAATTATAAAAAGGAGGAAAACCTCTCAATTCAGTTAGTTAATTGTTGTTTTAAGAGTTTGTTTAGAAAACTGCTCCTGTTGACTGTAGAGAATTTGCGGATTAGCTTTCTCTAGCTGTTTGAGAGATGTTTGAGCTGTTTGAGAGATTCTCTAGCTGAAATGAACTTGACTATTTATAACCTGTTCTACTCAAGACCCATTTTATTGTCATTGATATGTCACTGTTGCATTAATATGAAACATTTTATATATGGACATCTTATGTCACTCACTGGAGATATGAAAAGTGGTTAATTTTGTTGTTATAGCAATGTATGAAAAGATTATTTGGTGAATGGATTCCGTCCTTGGAGGACTTATGGTCCCTGGACTAAGAGAAAATGTGCCATATTCATGTTACGCATGAAATAAATCTTAAATCCTAAGCAGCCAGTCCTTTGCTAGGATATTAAACAGAATTGAACTTCTAGTATTTGTCTTATTCTGTTGGTAAAGTTTTTTAAATATTGAATGCTTTACTATAGAAAAGTATTGTTGCATGCATATGGGTTCGCTATGAATTGAATGCACAAGTCCGATGAAAAATGAACAAAATTTGTTATTATCACAATAAATAAAACAAAATGTTTAAAATTCCTCAGATATTCAAGCAGTATTACAATATCTCACAGTAGTTATCTTTTAACTACTCAAACGTTCAATAGAATTTAATTCAGAACAGCTAGAGAAAGCTAATCCGCAAATTCGCTACAGTCAACAGGAGCAGTTTTCTAAACAAACTCTTAAAACAACAATTAACTAACTGAATTGAGAGGTTTTCCTCCTTTTTATAATTATCGCATAATGCTTTTTTTAAAAAATATCTTTTCAGAGTTTCAAGTAAAGTATAACTTTCGGTTTATCAGTTTACATGAAAATATGAAATGCTGTTTCCAGAAATAAAAGTCTTAAATACCAAAACTGAAAAACTGTGGATTATTTTTTAATTAAAATTTTTCATTAAAAACTGTTATGAAATTCAAGTAAATTACCACTTCTGGTAGTCCATTAAAAACTGTTATAGTCTTCACGTAAAGTACCATTTCCGGTTCTCCAGTTTTACCCCAAAATCTATTCAACTCTTCACATGAATGCCGAAAGCTTCAATGTGTAAAATGTCAAATTTTGGAAGTTGCATTTAGAAGAAGCTTTTTAAATCATGCATGAGATTGTTCTAGCAATTTCTTGAAATCCAAAAGAGATATTTATTTATTAAATGTTATTCAAATACCAAATCCTTAACACTGTCCTATTCACAAGGACTGCATGTCCCGGGCAGTACAATCCCTGGACAGGAAGCCAAAGTTACAACTAAGCATAAATGCAATAATAAACATTACATTACAGTAATTAAAAAACATGAACAATAAGTGCAATAACTGACTTGAACAAATCAAATGCTATGAAATACTAAATACAAATCAAATACTAAATACAAGTCAAATCAATTACACATTTAGAAACAAAAAAGACCATGGTCTTACACTATTTACATTATGTACTATGGTCATAGTAATGAGCTAATCTGTCATGAGGCACGACTTTAGGTTCAGAGTTCGAAGACTTACAGATCTGAACCACGACGTCATTCAGCCTGTTTAGGACTGTGTATGGACTATCCCAAGGTGACTGTAATTTCAGACACAGTCTTTTTCGTCAAATCGAGTTCCACAACCACATCTTGTCTCCTTCATTGAATCTGTGTCCAGTAGCTCTCGTGTCGTATCTGGTCTTCACTTTCTCCGTCGGAAAGTTGACTCGCTTTCGTGCAGAACAGTGCATCACTTCAAACCAGACCTGGACATCTTGGATGTATTCCTCAGTCGATGAAGGCTCATCCATAGGACAACCAAACCGGCAGTCACAAGGCAGATGAAGATCTCGACCGAAGAGCATCTGGGATGGACAATAGCTAGTAGTCTGGTGTTTCTCTCTGATCCTGGTATGATTTCAGCAGCTTTCTGAGTGGGATCTTTCACATGAGATGTCTGCATTTCCACGCCACCCAATTCCGTGGATAATTGGGAGTGTACTGTATTCAAATTTTTGCTATTTTTAGAATGATGTTTGGGTGTATTTCTGTGTACATGTGAGGACTATTTTTTCGTACATATAACTCTTTCTATGCAACTTCCAAAATTTTCCATTTTACACATTGAAGCTTTCTGCATTCATGTGAAGAGTTGAATAGATTTTGGGGTAAAACTGGAGAACTGGAAATGGTACTTTACGTGAAGACTATAACAGTTTTTAATGGACTACCAGAAGTGGTAATTTACTTGAATTTCATAACAGTTTTTAATGAAAAATTTTAATTAAAAAATAATCCACAGTTTTTCAGTTTTGGTATTTAAGACTTTTATTTCTGGAAACAGCATTTTATATTTTCATGTAAATTGATAAACTGAAAGTTATACTTTACTTGAAACTCTAAAAAGATATTTTTTAAAAAAAGTATTATGAGATAATTTAAAACTTCCCTAATTCGGTATTTAAAACTCACAATGTGACAGAGACCAGCATATTTATAAACATTAAATGTATTCTTGGAATTATGGCAAATGCAATGAGAATAATTTCATTATGAAGCATTTTGTGTTAACCTCGATCCTCAATTGTTTCATTTAAAAGGATGCGCCCATCAAATGTTATTGCTGTGTTTTTTTTTTAAAGAAATAATATAGCAAATGTAAATATATATATATATAGCAACACTTAACTCTCTAAAAATATGCTTTTAAAGATTTTTGCAATTTTGTTGTTGAATTTTGTGACATGAGTGTGTTCAATAAATAAACTAAAGTGACAAATAAAAAAGTGTGCCATCATATTAAGAAAACTGAATGTTGTTATCAAGAACTGAGAAAAGTCTGGAAAAAATATATGGCACAGCAATTCTAAAAATATATTGCTTTTAAAATTTTTGTAATTGTTAAGCCATTGATTTGTGAATCTGAAACAACATGACAAAATGACCAGTGCAACATTTTTAAATAAAAACATGAAAATGGATGAGTACATGGGCATGTATAGTTAATCATTTTTCATAAAGTGAAATCATTTTTTTAGTGCTTGAGCTTTTCTTTCCCTTTCTTTTTCTTTGTAAATGTTTGATATATTGTGCTTTAACATTGTTTGAGTAAAATATTTTGTATGTTTACTAATTACTTCACATTTTACATTTTTAGGACCCCAAACTGTGTTTTTCTGGGCTCCTGCTTTCAAATGGGTAAATCGTTTTTAATTTGTTATACAGTCAAAAGTCATTAATCCGGACTCGTCGGGACTTCGCCGATTCCGGATTATAGATCATCAGTTTAAATCTGGTAAGATGGCATGCAGAAATTATAAAATTAAAAATATGAAACCGTAATTTATGAAATAAAGAACAATTATGATCTAAAGGGTATCAAAATTTACAAAAAAAAAAAAAAAAAAAAAAAAAGCTTAATATTTATTTGTTTACTTTATTAAACATTTCTTTCAATGTAAGTTGTTTAGTTTTATGTAATAATACTTTCTCTTTAATTCTATAAACAGACATAATTTCTTCTTCAATTACAAAGTTTCGCTGTTCAAATCCCATAATTGCTGTGTCGAGAATACCGATTAATTTGTCAATCGAAATTTTTTCGTTTTCAATAATTCACTACGGAAGCGAATTATAATGACGAGGCATTTGATTTCAATCATATTAAAGACGGAGTACATCGAGATGAAATACTACATTTAGTAAGGAATTATAAGCCAAATAAAATAAAAACATCTGCCCTGAAGATAAGGATAGTGCTGACAGATCAACTTTCAATTCATTGCGCGCTCGCCGTGGTGTTCCCCTCCCCCCAGAGCAGCATGAAATTGATAAACAGATTTCGGAATGGTTAGAGAAACGAAGGATATGCCTTTATCCATTTTTTGCAGCAATTCCACTTTTTGTTTAATGGACTTCAAAACATACTTTCGCTTTGTAGATCCTTTACATATTAGTAAATTATATATCGGAAATTCTATTTGATGTATTTGAAAGTTCAAGCTTACTTTTATAAAATTGCTCTAACAGTCTGCAAAAAATAATAAGCTGGATCCAATTCGAAAATTAAGGAACAATGCAATCTGCAACATTAACTGAATTAGATAATTTTAGCTTAGCTTATACCGTCCGTTATACATTAAACGCACATGCGTAAACGTATTATGCGCATGCACACACGCATATTCGCATCCGTCAACGTGACGCATGCGCAGAAAGTTTGTAGCTTTGAGGTCCGGATTATGGGTCGAATTAACGACTTTTGACTGTATTTATGACTTATGACTGTATTTTTTGACTGTATTTAGTTCTACTGAAAGTGAAATGTTTCATGTTTTTAAAATTTTTCTTATAAACATTATTGAATATCATTTCTTTTTAAATGGAAGGAGACGGATTTGAAAGTGATAATGTATTTTTCAGCTTATAATTCTCTTCTTTTGTATATTTCAAAATAGTATCTAATTGATGAAGAATTTAAGCAAATCTTACATTAATATTTTAAAATTCTATTCAGCAGTCATAATTGCTTTTTTACCTTCCATGCAAGCATCTTTTTCCACCAATATATTTATATCTTGAAGATATGAGAAAATTCTGTGTACACTTTTGGCCAGAATAACATTTCATGGGCTTGGTCTAATGTTATAATCAGACAAGTAAGATAAGTAATAGTACACTTTTTCCTTATTCTTGATCTTAATACTAGATTACACTGTTTTAATTTTATGACACATTAATCATTTACATTTCATTTATTTAGTTTTATTTTATTTAAATATTTGTGTACAATTTATATTTTATTTAAATTATTTGTGTACAATTCCCTTAGAGATCCTGCACTTTTAATTAAAAAATTTAAGCTTTTGTTTGAAGAACTGAAAAAGCATAATTAATTAATATATCATTAATCAATTAACACCAAAAATAAAGTGTTTAACTTTTTATACATGTATATGATTCTGTTGTTTTGTGTAGCTATTTGATACTAACCACACTTTAAATGCTTAGGTATAGCCTCATCCGCAACCATGAGTGCAAACACACGAATTATTCTCAAAATAGGGTGGAAGGATGGGGAATTTATTTCCCTCGAGCGTAGCTCTTTCCGGAGAAGTGAAAACCTTTCACATCACAGCAAATAATACCGCCCCTTTTGGACGAGTCTATGTGTTTTGGCAGAGTGCCAACCAGGGTTGCGCTTGAGGCAGTTGAACTATACCTGAGCATCAGTTGTGGTGGTAACAAATATTTTTTAAATAAATAATAATAATAATAAAATAAAAAAAATTGAAGCAAAAGGTTAGCTTTACTATAAAGTACTTAAGAAGGCTGAAAACAAACATTTAAACTAGAATTTTAAATTAAAGTACAAAATGAAAATCTGTTTATTCGAATAATGAAAATAAAATAGTCTTGCTTAAAAGCATTCTTAAACCGTTTAATTTTCATAAGTAAGGTAAGGTTAAGTAAGGTTTAAGTAATTTGTTACTTATGTATTAGCACAATCACTTTTGTAGAATGCATTAAACTCTGCCAGCTATGGTCAAAATATTTCTTCCATTTTTAATAAGCAAAATTGCCATTTTTATAAGCTCTTTTTTTAATTCTAAGTTCAAATGATTTTTATAAATAAATGGTAATTTTTTTTATCATCTTAAACTCAGTTTTATATATATATATATATATATATTGTATGGAATTTACGTGCAGTAGAAGAAACTGCAATAAAATGTTTAAAGGAATATAACATTTTGTCATAAAACTACTAATAAGAACTTTGAATCTATTTGAATCTATTCTTTAAATGATTGCCATGGAGTTTCCAACAGAGCAAAGAGGTATAAAAATCCACTTTAAGTAGATGTATTCATGATTTTTCAGAATGAATGACGTTATGTATAAAAATATGTGTGTGTAATAAACAGTTTTTTGCAGTTATAAATCATCATTCTTTTTCTTTAAAAAATCACCAAATTGCATTACATTGTAGAGTCATTAGGTTAATTGTTGGAAGCAGGCAAGATGAAAAATTAGCAACCGCCTTCGCCGGGAATCGAACCGCAGACCTCTGGAATACCAACCCAGCGTGCAGAACCACTACACCACGAAGGACGCTAGGAAAGTGGGAGAAATACCTTATAACATGATTACACTAATATATAAGAACCACAAATTCCTGTGTAATATGATGCCTCAACACATAATATATACATGGTTTTATAAGAATTGGTTTTTTATATATGATTAGATGTGCATTGCTATTTGATGAAAACAATTTGAATTATTTTCTCCTTTTAATTAATTAATTTTCTATGTGCATGTGGAAGTTATTATGTTGATATCTGAATATATTTAAACATTGTATCCTTTTGGTTATTTAATTATGCTGCATGTTAAAAAGCACAGAACATTGTATTTTAAACATTAGTACAACTCCTGTAATATCTATATGCAGTCCAGTTGCAGATGCTGAATTCTATAAATAATTTCTTTCTTCATTTTGAAAATAGACTTTCTTCCCCCACTCCCAGTTAGAAAATTATAAAAAGGTCTTTGTTTTATGCAGTTTTTTGGAATAAGATGTTTAAATTATTTTAGTAATTCAAAGTTAATGATGCCAGCCACCGGCCGAAAAGTCGCTGAACACTGGTAGTTTGGTCCAAGATTCAAATTCTGTGAAGCAGCTGGCTGCATGGCTGTTTCCATGGTTTTCTTCTTGTGTAATATTATATAAAGCCCTTAAAATGTCCTTCATGAAGGCATCCCTCCCATTAGACAGATAGCTCTTGTGGCTTTGCGATATTGACATAAACCAAAGCAAACCAAAGTTAATTATATAAATTGCATGAGATATAAAATGCATTTAAAAAATATTCTGTATTTTGAGACTTAAATAGAATTGTATTTTGATGGTAAAAATGATGATAAGAATTTTGAATTTTCAGTGCCTTGTAATAGCTGGTATTGGTGATATGGCCCGACCTGCTGAAAAACTCAGTCCTGCACAGTCAACTGCTTTAGCTGCTACAGGTAAATAAAATTTTATGGCTGTAAATGAATAAAATTTACTATAATGCATTATTTCTGATGTGAAGTTTTAATTGCCTACTATATTTCTTTATAATTAAAAAATAAACACTCCTGTCTACTTATTTATAATGATTAACGTTATTGCCGTATGATGTTGTTGTATTATCTCATAAATGGAAATTTACTTAGTAATGATTCTGTAAATTATTTTTTCCATCCAAATCATTATCACTATACATTCATGTCATAATTTCATAATTCATGTTTTCTAAATCATATTTCTTGAAAATCATCTCTCCCATCTAAATGTATTACAGGTCAGTTTAATTGCATGAATCATCAGTCATAGTGTAATTTAAATTCACTAAGAGAGCTTGTGTTTTCTTTATGCAGTTTTAGAGATAATTTTTATCATTGTGTTTATCTATTTTTGAATGCTTATTCATCAAAATTCTTGATTTACAATTTATTTTTTGAGTAGCAATACATTTTGTGGTATCCAAGTGAAATGTTGCTACTGAATATTAATTTTTGAATGTCGTAAAGTTTTGGCACACATTTATTTTTATTTATTTAATAAATTATTTTAGCTCTCATTAGAAACTTTATTGAAGTGATCACACTCAAACATTTAGAACAAAGTAACATTCCTTTCACCTGTGTGGTGACCATGTGTGAAAGAATAATCCCAAAGTAGACTATGCGTGTCATAAAAGGTGTTAAAATACACTTTTTTTTTTTACACACACAACACTTAGTCTCCATACACACAAACACACACATACTAAAATACAACACACACTTAGTATCCATGGATATAGCAGGGTGCCCTGCCCTTGAGGATTATATCAGGGATCCTTCAGGTTTGGGGTTGGATTTGAGGCCGACAACTTCACCTTGTAAAAAAATTACATGTTAAGAAATCTCAGGAAAGAAAAACTGGATGGACCTTATCCAGATGACATGAAATGAAAAAGGGCATGAGGATTGGATCGTGGAACATACACACGCTCCTTAACTCCTTCGCAAAAGCATGTTGCTGAGCTAAAATCCCTCTGCAGACGGGTGTGTCATATATGCATCAGTTCCAAATGTCGCTAGCAGCTGGTGTAACACATTGTCTCCAAGGTTATTTGCACTAAGTGTCATTCTGTCTGGTAAGAGGATTAGCTGCTGATGCATATATGATATACCGTCCTGAAGTTAAGAGTGGAGCACTGAAAAATCTAATAGATGAAGTGAATATATATAAAATATTGGCTGTGCAGGAGATAAGATGGTTAGGAAAGGGAAACTAGACAAGAGAAGTTACAGCCTATATTTTAGCTGCTAAGAAACATTCCAAAAGCCAGAGAGAAAGACAAGGAGAGAAAGACAATGGACAAGGTGGCTAGATGGTATGGAAAAGTGTTTAAAGAATGTTGGTGTTAATAGGTGGAGGAATGTGGCATTGCATGGATTAAGATGACAGAAGCTGTCTGAAACAGCCTTGGCCAGAAATTAAATGTAGAGCATAGGAATAATAATATTACTTTAATTTATAGTTAAGTATACAAGTGGATAATGATACTTGGATAATGATACCCCCAGAGCAGCGTGAAATTGATAAACAGATTTCAGAATGGTTAGGTCATTTTATGCAGCAATTCCACTTTTGTTTAATGGACTTTGAAACATACTTTCGCTTTTTAGATCCTTTACATATAAGTAAATATATATCGGAAATTCTATTTGACATAATCAAAAGTTCAAGCTTACTTTTATAAAATTGCTCTAACAGTCTGCAAAACATAATAAGCCGGAAAATTAAGGAACAACGCAATCTGCAACATTAACTGAATTAGATAATTTTAGCTTAGCTTCTACCGTCCGTTATACATTAAACGCGCATGCGTAAACGTATTTTGCGCATGCGCACTCGCATATTCGCAGCCGTTAAGGTCTTACACGCATGCGTCAACGGGATGCATGCGCAGAAAGTTTGTAGCCTTGAGGTCCGGATTATGGGTGTCCGAATTAACGACTTTTGACTGTATATATATATATATGTAAAAGTTAAATAACAGCTGAAAATTTTGAATCTTAAATAGTAATAGTTGTACTGAGAGTGTAAAACATACATAATGATGAGATGTATGTGTACAATAGACACTCAATTAATCAGACTGTTAGCCTGATATATCAAGGAATAGTTAATCAAATTAATTTTGCATCATTATTTATGCACAAAATTTACTTTCTAGGGTTATAAATGAAATTTAAATAATTGCTACCCCAAAACTTCACATGATAATGTGGAAAAAATTAAATTTTAACATTTAAAGTTAAAAAAGTATTAAACATCATAGAAGTAAATAATTCTGTACTAAATTCCCCCGCCCATAATTTGAACATCACCAAGATTATTGATAAATTGCCAATGTGTGTTGCAAACCCTCGCCAAACAATAAGTCACTAAAGTGGTTCTACCTTTGTATATAATATTGGGATCAATAATTTGGTGGCCATTTTCATGTTTGAATGCAGGGTAAAATACCTGTTTTTGGAAGAATGATATGGTAACTTTCTTACTTTTTAAAAATTCAAAAATTCTTAAAGCTTTTTGAAAAAACGGCACAAATACAAGTATAACATGGGGCCTACTTAAAGCTCCTCTCTTGATTGTCTAATAAGTAACTGTGATTAAAACTTCTGCCATTTGGCCATGGTTTAGGATATATATTAGTAATTTATCAATCAATCAATCAGCTTTACACTGTTATGGGACATATTAGCAATTTATCAATCAAAAACCTTTGCACTCTTTAAAGAAAGGAGGCCATAATAATAAGGAAATATTACATAACATAGTATTAGAAACTTTTATTAATTACAAAACTGCTGTTAGTATTGTAATTGGGTGTATTAAAATTTAAATATATTTTAATATATATATATATATAATTTATTATTAGAAAAGGTATTTATATATCATCTCCAAGGAAAAGAAATTTTTATTAATGCTATGAATTATTAGAAAAAAAAAACTTTAGTAAGTATTTTTAAGTAGCTTTTTAAGTCAGTATCCAAAGTTATCTAGATCTATTGTAGTAGAAAGTATTTAAAATCTGTTGTAGTAAAAATTATGTAAAATTTGTGAAGAAAAATCCTTTGACCATAAAAATTTCAAATATTAAATTCAAAATCAAAGAAAAACTTAAAAAGTAGCTATTATTATTGATTGCAGATTGACTTGTCGAAGAAGAACAAATCAATCTATATATATGAGGAACATATGGTTTGCTAAGTAACAGTACTTTGAGAAGTAGCTGTGCACAAGCATAAAGGGAAAATAAATTTAAATATTTTGTACATAGTGCTGACACTTAACACAACATGTGGATGAGTAATGCTGCTTCTAAATTCTTTTTATTCTTTGTCTATTAGTTTTTGAGGCATGGTCATATCTACAAATTATATTTTGCCAGATTGGGGTTTTATTTGTTAAGTGAAAGCAACATACCTTCTTCAAATTGTAAAAGAGTATTTATGTATATTAGATATAAATTTTTTTTCCAAAAATTGTTTTATTTAAAAAATCAGTGACTTTTATATTTTTTAGATTTTTGTTTGAATTTTCATTTTAAAACAAAATTGTGCAGTTTTACCAAAAAAGTAATATGACAAATTGGTATGCTTTTAGTGTATCTAATTATTCATTTCAGTAATTAATATGCTGTACTTATTTGAGCATAGCATTTCATAAACTAAAGAAATATACAAGAGTCTAAAATGTACCAAGTAACTCAGGTGCACAAGATAAATTAAAGCATGAGCTAAAACTAAAACTGTATCTAAAATATGAACTTGAGAGCTGTTAAACTGTGGTATGAATGTTTTAGCTGTATTTTATCGTCTGGGGATAGTAACATCATATTTCCTCATGTATTCCTTATGAATAGCTTGATAGTTAACAGTGGTTTATTCATAAATGCTTTTGGTTTATAAAGTACAGTAACCAAATAACAAATGAAAGTATTTATAAATCAACTACTGGTGACTATCAAGCAAGCATTTGGAGGGAGGGATACAGTAATTTATCTTAGACTATTTTCCCCTGGAATTGGCAGTGAAATTTTATTAGTGGAAGAGAGAACTCTTGATGAAAGTATGACATGATGAAGCCAGATTGGATAAATTCAAGTCTGTTATACATATTTACATACATGCTGTGATTATATGCATGTGCATATGGTATCTATTTGTACTTTCTGATTTTCCACTGAGTAGTGATTGAGTGGATAAAGTCTTTTGTACACACTTACATATATGATGTGATTGATTATATGCATCTACTTTTTGCAAAATTTCTGATTTTCCACTGACTAGCGATTGAGTGAATAACACTACTGAACACTGGCAGTTTGATCTGGGTTCTAATTGAAGCATGTCAGCTGGTCATATGAATATTTTATGGGTTTAATCATGTATAACTGAATACAAACTAATTTCCCTTAGACAGTCTTCCACAAAGATATAGCTTTCCTTCGGCAAATACTCTAATATACCTTACTATAAATCCACTCTCCTGCAGTTCTGCTTTGCCATTTTATTTGTAGCCTTTTATATACATAATTTGTAACCTCTACACAAAGATGGTATTTGAGTTTTTCATTACATTATAAAAATTTACATTTAGTATTATATGTAACTTTAATGCACAAAGATCTTTTTGAAGTTAATTGTTAAATATACATTAATACATAATTTCTTTATTTGATGTAAATATTTGAGTTTTTCTTTCTGTTGGGAAATTTTTGTATAACAGATGTAATGTTGGCATTTATGAGGGAGAAGAGTAGTTAATTTGCATGAAAATTTCTTGATGCATATAACTTATAAATCATTCTTGACTTCAGTAAGAAAAATATTTTTAAATACTATTCATTGTGTAGATTTTGAAGTGAAATGAATAGATATCCAGGTTTTAATTAGATGTTCTAAAGTATAAATGCAGATATAAGATCAGTTTTATAATTTTTTTTTGTTAATAATTTAGTTTTTCACTTAGTTATAAACTATTTTACCATTTTAGGTATTATTTGGTCCCGTTACTCAATGGTAATTATACCAAAAAACTGGAGTTTACTCAGTGTCAATATATTTGTCGCTTTAACTGGATTATATCAACTAGCAAGGATTTACAAGTAAGTTCTCAACAAAATGTATAAATAATGTACAATGTTTCAAATATATCACTTATATGTACATGCCTTAAATATAAGGATAAGCAATATTTTTGCATATTAAAAAAGAAGATAAGAATTATATGAATATAATATGAAGATAAATATTGCAAGTTATTTATTTTATAATTCTTTATGCACGATAATAACAATCTTCCTGTTAAAAATAAAAGAGTAATTATATTAAGTCTTTTACCAAAGAAATTGCATATAGGAGTTGAGCATATGCAAAGGTTGGATGAAAAGTATTTAAAAATTTTAAGGTAATTTGATTGCTGAAATTAAAATACAGTCAAAAGTCGTTAATCCGGACTCATCGGGCGATTCCGGATTATCGATTTTTCCGGATTATAGATCATCAGTTTAAATCTTGTAAAATGGCATGCAGAAATTCTAAAATTAAAAATATGAAACCGTAATTTATGAAATAAAGAACAATTATGATCTAAAGGGTATCAAAATTTGCAAAAAGAAAAAGCTTAATATTTATTTGTTTACTTTATTAAACATTTCTTTCAATGTAAGTTGTTTAAGTTTTGCTTCGTTTCATGTGATAATACTTTCTCTTTAATTCTATTAAACAGACATAATTTCTTGTTCAGTTACAAAGTTCCGCTGTTCAAGTCCTATAATTGCTGTGTCAAGAACACCAACTAATTTGTCAATCGAAATTTTTTCGTTTTCAATAACCTCTGTCACTTTTCTTCGCTATCGGAAGCGAATTATAATGATGAGGAAGAACTTATTTTAAATCGTATCAAAGACGGAGCATATTGAGATGAAATACTACATTTGGTAAGGAATTATAAGCCAAATAAAATAAAAACATCTGCGATGAAGAAAAGGATAGTGCTGACAGATCAACTTCCAATTCATTACGCGCCCGCCGCGGCGTTCCCCCCCGCCGAGCAGCTTGAAATTGATAAACAGATTTCGGATTTCAAAACATACTTTCGCTTTAGATCCTTTACATATTAACAAATATATATCGGAAATTCTATTTGATATAATCGAAAGTTTAAGCATACTTTTATAATTGCTCTTACAGTCTGCAAAAAATAATAAGCCGGATCCAATTCGAAAATTAAGGAACAACGCAATCATCAACATTAACTGAAATAGATAATTAGATAATTTTAGCTTATACATCCATTATACATAAAACGTGCATGCGAAAACGTATTCTGCGCTTGCGCACACTCATATGTGCAGTCGTAAAAGGTTTTACGCGCACGCATAAACGCCTATGCACATTTGTCCACGCGGCGCATGCGCAGAAAGTTTTTAGTTTTGAGGTCCGGAATATAGATCATTCCGAATTATGGGTGTCCGTATCAACGACTTTTGACTGTATTTATATCTTCTGCTTGCCATTGTGTTGCCATCTGGGTGTATGTAACTACTTAACTTTTAAATTTAATCTGCCTGTTATTGATTAAAAAACTAAACAATTTAAAAATAATAAATACAATTCTTAATTTTTAGTATATATGCAGTACAAAGTTTGAGATCCAGACTGGTCAGGATTTCACCGATTGCAGATATTAGATCAACAGTAGTAAGATGACATGCAGAAATTATAAAATTAAAAATATGCAAGAGTGATTTATGAAATAATGAAGCATTTGTGACATTAATGGAATTAAAATTTACCAAAGGAAAAAAAAAAAAAAAAAGAAGCTCAGTATTTGTTTGCCCTATTAACCATTTCTTTCATAAGTTGTTTAATTTGCTTTGGTTTTTGTGCTAATATGTCTTTATTTCTATAGGTAGATCTAATTTCTTGTTTGATTACAAAGTTGCACTGTACAACTTCTGTAAATGCAGCATTAAGAATTTCCACTAAATTGTCGATCAAAATTTTTTTATTCTGAACGTCTTTCGCTTTTTCATTATTGATCACAGTATTACGTGGATTTAGCACCATACTATAGATTTCATCATCTCTCGGTTGATTAATTGTTAGGGCATTGTCATTGCAATGAAAAGCTTCTGTTCTGTCATCTTCATTTATTACCCTCTCCATTAATTGGAAAATTTCGCTTTTTGTATGTGATATCTGAAAAACTTCAAATTTGTGATTATCATCATAAAGCTTAGATAGTGTTTGCTGTGCACTATTGCCGATGTATCATGAGGTTGCCAACTAAAGACATGTTGTTCCACTGCATTTTTTCTTATTTCTGTCACACTTTGATGAAGTTAAGCATGAATTTATATTAGTTTAAATATTTATTATACGAGGGCAATCCCAAAAAAAAGGTCTCCTATATTTTTAGATATACAAAGAACCGTTTATTTTCTATAATTGCTATATCACTTTAAAGATTGAAGAATGCTTTATTTTTCAACATAATCGCCATTTCGGTCGATGCATTTTTGTAGATGCTGTGGCAGTTTTACAATGCCCATGTCATACCAGCTTGCCGCCATGCCCTTCAGGAAGTGTTGAGAAGCATCTAGATGATCCTCCGATCTTTACGCATTTTACGAACTCAACAATCCCGAAACTCAAAGAATATGAACTCAACAATTGCGATCGCGATTCTCTCGTCGGCAATTGACAGTCTCCCGCTCCTTTCTTCGTCATGAATTTCAGTACGACCGGCTGTAAACTCTCTACACCACTTGCGAACGCTTTTTGACATCCACGCACGACTGTCCATACACTTCCGTCAATAGGCGGTTAATTTCAACCGGTTTAACGCCTTTTGCGTTCAAAATCGAATAACTGCGTGCACTTCGCGGTAACGTTTATTGGGAGCTCCATTTCGAATGGCTGCCAAGCCAAGACTGAGCATCCGAGCGAACAGTGTTGCCAACAACTGTATTAAAACTTTCTCTACGTCCCCAAAAAATAGGAGACCTTTTTTTTTGGGATTGCCCTCGTACTTATGACTATTTCCCACACATGCTTAAGGTTTATCTGAATTTATATTAGTTTAAATATTTATTATTATTATACTTATGACTATTTACCACACATGCTTAAGGTTTATCTAAGACCTGAATGAATAAATTCCCACATATACTTAAGTTAATCCTGTGCGAGTGCTAAGAATTTAATTGGCCAGCACAGTAGCCATCAATCCGAAATTTTGCTGCCAAGCACCTCCCTAAATTCTAAAGGTTTTGTCATCCCTTAATTTTGTTATTGTGTGCTTCTCTGACTTCTAAAAATGTTGCCTTTCACTAAATTCTGCCACCAAATGCAGCCACACCAGTTCTGGTGCTGCTCTTGGGCACAACTCAATAACTTCTCAATTTAAACAGCATTAAATGTAATAGTTTGGGTATGAGCATCATTTACAAGATTTTTAATTTCTCCTTGTCAACACACTTTACACTTCAAGCAGAGTTATATGGAGTCTGTAAGCATCACCAAGCATGATGTCAACATAAAAGGTCACCATGCTGTTTGATATTCAGTTACCAATATTAAAAATTTTAAATTGTTTAGACATAGTTGCATGAGTCATTTGTCAAACTGCAGTGTGTGATGAAAGCAAAAAATAATAAATAATGATTCAACAGATTAGCATCTGCGTCAAAGTGAAATTAAGAATCAGGAACTCTCTGCAAATTTTAATATGAAAAACTACACAAATTCAGAAGCGTAAAGCATTAAGAAAAGGAAAAGAGAAGGGGGGAAAATGAGGTTACTAGTGATTTGGAGGTTCAGATATCTGGAGTCTCGATTTTAGACTGTGTACTGTATATATATGTAAGATATAACAAAATACAATACCTACTTTAAAAATAATTGGCGACCTGAAAATTAACGATTCTAGATTTGGTGCTGTCTACCCTAAATTCATCTGTAAGGTCATGAATCATGATAGGGCATAGAAAAACCTGCCAGTTATGTCCTTGATGCTTTCTCATGTAATAAACTTTCTGTTGCTTCACTAATGCTTTTCTGCCACCCTGCTCTCCCATTTTTTTTTTTTTTTTTTTGAAGGGGGAATATGTAAGACATAACAAAATATGATTGCTTTTAAAATAATTGGCGACCTCAAAATTAATGATCCTAGATTTAGTGCTCTGTTCATCTGTTAGTGCCCTAAATTCATTTGTTCTTGCAAATTTGAAATTGTTGTATCCAACCTTAAATTAACCAATCACAGATTAGCTCTACTTTTATCTCAAACTTAGTATAAAGCTGATAGAGAAAATGAACTAGCATCTTAATAGGAAAAGAATCTTAAAAAAGATCTTAATAGGAAAAGCATGCCATTATCCAGTATGGAAGCTCATCTAGAGAAGGTTTTGGTTTAGGTTAGAAAGGTTTAAGTTCTCAAAATTTTGAGTTCAAGTTTCAAATTACTTATGTCATCAGCGTTATGTAAGCCATGGGACATAGATTAATCTAGAAATGGTACAGTGCAGAAAAGTTATTACTACTTTTAGAATACAGAGAGGAATTGCCCAAACTAAAAATGAGGAATTAAAAGTGTTAGTAAATTAAATTATAAAGCTGATTTACATACTTTTAATCTTGCTTATATATTATATGTTATTTTATGAATTAATTCATGATGAAGACACAATAACACGCCGAATAAATACTAATTCAGAAGTCAAACAACAAAAATCAGCGTTATACCTACAAAATTTTCACAGGACTAGTTTCGATGGTTTTACCGAACCATCATCTTCAGCTGCAAAACCGCAAATGAACAAGATAGGAAATAATGATTAGATAAGATAAGAAAGCCTGGACAAGAATAAGAAAGTGGCGCCATCTGTTGGTGAAACCAGAACTAAAACATCTTTCTGTTCTAGTTAACGATCCTAATTCCAATCCAAATTTGCCTTCGGCTTTTAGAGAAATTATGTTTTAGTTCTGGTTTCGCCAACAGATGGCGCCACTTGCTTATTCTTGTCCAGGCTTTCTTATCTTATCTAATCATTATTTCCTATCTTGTTCATTTGCGGTTTTGCAGCTGAAGATGATGGTT